CCTGTTCCTGTGAGAGCCGTACTCCAGGGATATTTCAGGAAGGGCTGTTATTAATTCATGTGCTGTCCGGCTGTGTTAGAAAACGGCTTTAATGACTCTGCTGATGTATTATTCTCATGACTTCGGGTCCTGAAGATCTGAGATGATTCAGAGACGCTGTGAGACGTTCATCTGTCAAGTGTGGAGGAACGACAACGCTTCGTTTATAAAGTCATTAAGAAATGCAGACACAAAGATGTATAGGACTTTAAAATAAGTTTGTATTATTTTTATTTATAATTTATAATAATTATTTAATAATAGTAGTAATAATAATAATAATTAATTCAACCTTATTTTAAAGTATTATTATTATTATTATCATTATTATTATTTTAAAATAAGGTTGTATTAATAATAATAATAATAATAATAATAATAATAATACAGTTAACTAAGATTTATACAGCCTTATTTTAAATAATAATGTTATTATTATTATTTACCAAAATAAATAATTCTGTAAAAATAATAATAAAAATTATTCATGATAGCTAATGGATTAATGAATTTTGGCATATAGCTAGCATTTCTTGGACTTAACACATTTGAAAAAAATAACAAGCAAAATATGACCCGTTTAAAGAACTTTAAGCCATACTATGAATATTTTGAAAGTAAAGGAAAGTAATTCCAGCACAGCTGTGAAGCTAGAAGCACTTGGAGATGTTCTTTCTCCAGATTGACCTGATTAGAAGTGTTCTATCAGGACGAAACCCTGCGTAATTAAAGAGTGAACCATCTGTCAGATTCAGAATGTTTCTTCTTGATGGAGAGAAACAGCAGTCTCGCAGTGTTCGAGAATAATCAAATAATAACTGTACCCCAGAAAGCATGTGTCTGAAGCGTTAGTGAGGAAGATCCTGGACTGAGACCCTGTCAGACAGAAGAGCTGATGTGGAACACAACCCTTCAGAGGAAAAGTTAAAAGATCTGCCTGAGGAACAGAAGAGCAGCTCATTATGAAGTGTGAATCTGTGTGTGTCTGTGTCTGTGTCTGTCTGTGTGTGTGTCTATGTGTCTGTGTCTGTGTGTCTGTGTCTGTGTCTGCGTCTGTGTCTGTGTGTCTCTGTGTGTGTGTCTGTGTTTGTCTGTGTCTGTGTCTGTGTCTGTTTCTGCGTCTGTGTCTGTGCGTCTGCGTCTGCGTCTGTGCGTCTGTGTCTGTGTCTGTGTGTCTGTGTGTGTGTGTGTGTCTGTGTGTGTGTGTGTGCGTGTTTTTGTGACAAATGAGGACATAAATTTGTATAATGACAAGGGTATGACATAGGTATTACAAGGAGAAGGTGACTTTTCAGGACATTACCCCATGTCCCCACTTTTCAAAACGCATATAAATCACACAGAATGGAGTGTATTGAAAATCTGAAATAGCACAAAGTTTCCTGTAAGGGGTAGGTTTAGGGGTAGGGTTGGTGAAGGGCAATAGAATATACGGTCTACAGTATAAAAACTATTACGCCTATGGGATGTCCCCACTTTTCACAAAAACAAACCTGTGTTTGTGTGTGTGTGTGTGTGTACATACAGTTCAGGGCAAATTTGACAAAACCTTCCTTTTGGGGATATCTGCATTTGGAGAAACAATTCATAAAGTAGAGAGATAGAAAGAGAGAGAGAGACAGAGAGAGAGAGACAGAGAGAGAGAGAGAGAGAGAGAGAG